GATTCGCTATCATGAAGATCTGCTAGGTCATAAATGCTCAAGATGACGTGTCAGAGAAAAGCGAAGAGTTTCAAGGAGGATGAGCAAATACAAGTTACGAGGCATTAAGAGTAAGATTATTCAGGTCAAAATTAGTTTTAAAAGAATTAAACAAAAGAATTAATTCTTTTAAAAGGGAGCATATGTTGACACCTGAAATTAATTAGAGATATCGATGCTTAGGATAGATGAATAAAATGACAAGAGATGACGTCACCTGTACTAAAATGACAGCTAGTAGGTACGGCAATCATAGGTGGGAAATTTGAAATTCAGATGGATGGGAATAAAAATGCTGAAGGTATTTTCATCGAAGATATCGACAAGGAGAAGAACGAATGTCAAGCTAGGAAAGATTCGATGAAAGCCTTTGCTCCAGAAAAGACAGATGTCCAAGTACCAAAGGTGCTTTTCATCGATAACATCGATGAAAATGATGATGGATGTCAAGTCAGAAAAGCTCGACGAAGGTCCCTATTTCTGGTGGACAAGTGTCAAACGGAGAAAATGGTCGATAATGGTTACCGTCCCGAGAGACAGGTGTCAGATGGAGAAAAGTTCGATGTTGGTTACCATCCCAAAGGACAGGTGTCAAACAGAGAAAAGGTTCAATGACGGTTATCATCCCAAGAGACAGGTGTCAAACGGAGAAAAGGGTCAATGACGATTATCATCCCGAGAGACAGGTGTCAAACGGAGAAAAGGCTCGATGACGGTTATCATCCCGAGAGACAGATGTTAGACAGAGAGAAAGCTCAATGACAGTTATCATCCCGAGAGACAGGTGTCAAACAGAGAAAAGTTCGATGACGGTTGTCGCTTTAGAGAACCGATGGGCTCGATGATGGTTATCGTTTCAGAGACTAAAAGGGCTCAAGAGCGGTTATCTCTTCATACAAAAGATAAGATCGATAACAGTTGATAAACATGTGCCATTAAATGAACGGTGAAGATAAAATCAATGATGGATATCGAATACAACACCAAGAACGGTTACCAAGTCTATGCTATAAATAGCGTTTGATTATCAACAGAAGAACCCCCGCACACATGAACAAAACAAATGTTGTCTTTTATCTTTACTTCCAAGTTTCACACTTTCAGTTTCTATAGCTGTAGTCTTTACTCTCCAGTTTCGCACTTTCAGTTTCCCTAGCTGTAGTTGTTTAGGTCTTTGTGAACTTTGGACGCCATCAGCAATTGGATGGTTTTGCCTGAATATTCTGTAAAAATCAAGTTTTTTTTATCACGCTTGGGCTCCTGTCCGGAATTGGATCTAGAACTCAGTCTCCTTTCATTAAGAGCCGAAGAACGACTTTCGGTGAATTATATTTCGTCGTGAGAACATTTCCGACGAAACAATACCAAATAAGCCTGATCTCAGACTAACCGATTTCATAGTGCTGGACTATGCACTAGCAGTTCTTCAGTGTTGTCCGATCCAAGACCGTTGGGCTCACGGTACCTAACTGTTAACTCCGATATCAATTGTTGAGAAAGATAGAGAACTTAATTGAAGAAAACACACATTTTTATTAGATGCATACTCTACACTGTTGATCGGGAGAACTTCTTATCTACTAACACAAAAGAGAGCACTTGGCTATTTATAACCTTTACAAGAGGCGGTTTACTGGTTTAGATCATTTTAGAGATTAGTGATTTGTCTTAAAATTCTTTGGAGAAGAGAGGAGGCGAATCTTTTCCTTCAAAGACCTCATGTTTGGTGGCAATGTGTTATAAAAATAAATGGCTTCGAATCAAAAGAGCAATCAAGTCGGACTTTGAGGCGTGATATCACTTCCCTTAAGAATTTATTTGCCCCACAATGTTGCTAATGGTCATCGACAAAAATCCTCCAGGATACAACAAAGTCTCAAGATGAGAATACTATATAGCAATTCTAGTATTTCTCCAGGGTCTCTCTAGGAAACAATTGAAAATGATGGCTATAGTTTTCGAAAGAAGACTTGAAAATTGATTTCTTCTCTCCTTCTTGCCAAAAACTGACATATATAGAAATCGGTCTTAAAGAACATAGGCAACTCTTCACGAAAGGTTGCAAAGCTAACAAAGATATTCCTTCGGAAGAAGTTGCAAACTGAACAAATGCAACCCTTTGGGAAAGATTGAAAACTGAGCAAAAATAATCTCCAAAAGTTGTCTTGAAAAGACACATGTAAAATTCGAAATAAAATAAAATAAAAATATATAAATAAAATTCCGAATTTTCATAATTTCGAAAATTATTTAATAAACAAAAAACAACCTTTCAACTAATAAAGATTAATGAGATAACCTTACGAAATAAAATAAAAAATAAAGGGATTAGTGCTAATTAAACCGCGGCCGCGCAAGCGTGCTAAGTGCGCCTAATAATCGCGCCAAAATTGCGCAATTATTCGCGCACCCGCACGTGGGTATTGTGTGGACTAGCACACACTCCATTGTCTTCACTCTAAGGAGCAAGAAGATATTCACAGTTATAAAGTGGCTCACTTTCTCAAAACTTTCCTATGTGGGACAAAGGAAAGAGCATTATTTTGTTTGTTTTACAAACAAACATCCAACACAATGTTCATAGGATCGGCTACAATTACGTGCATTCTAATGATGCTTGGCAACTTACCTTGGCCCCAGAGTTCGAGGCCCGGTTCTTCGAGCTTAGCTTCCACAAAAGGCACAAGGACATGATCATGTGCATGTACCTACCCAAGTGGTTGAGGAAGCCAAGTGTATGAGTCACAATTGAAGTTGTTCACGCTGTGCCGAGAGTTGGGATAAGCATGGTTCCAAGGTAAAACTAGGAATCTGGAGCCGGAGAATCGACTGGTAGGAACTGGTTCGATTCCAAGTTGTAGGATACGTAGGGTAGGTTTTAGGTTACAAAAATTGAGGAACCGGCTCCGACGTATAGGTTCCAGGTTCTATATTCCAAAACCTGGAGCAAGTCTTTGCGTTTTTCTTATTTTATGTCTTTGCACAATCATGCAGTAATCATGAGTACGTAATCTAGAATCACTAGTTTGAGCTTCCATCAATGATCGAGACTTTCACTTTGTTAATGTTTTATAGTTTTGGTATGTCTAAATATAAGGTGTGGTTAGTGGATTGTAGCAGCAAATGGTGGTCATTAGAGGTGATAATTCACTGCAATAGTTCAATTATGAATATAGGGGGAACCTAGGTAGACTCTCAAACCTGTGACAGGGTAGGCTCCACATTTCATGGTACGAAGGGTAGGTTTTAGATTCCAAAAAATGAGGAATCTGTTCCGACAGGTAGGTTCTAGGTGTCACTTGAAACTTGTAAGGAACCTAGAACCGTTCACCCCTAGTCAGGAAGTCAGGAGAGCATGTACAACATGTCCGACACATGGAAGCTGATGAACCTTGACCACCCCACGACGTTCGAGATGCTTGCGATGGAGGCGTAGACGTAAGGAGTTCATCATGGGGGACTTGCAGCGGTTCATCAGGAGGAGAGATTATTATTGGGGAGTGGGCAAGGCGTGTGGCATGTCTTTATCGAAGTGAATTCGGGAGGAGCTAACGGATTGCTAAGCAGACACAAATAATGCTTTCTCGAGGTGACGCCTGCTCTCCCAAACTCCAACTATTGTAACTCATGATTGGCTTTTATTGCTGTTGTTATAGTTTAAAGACAATTTGATTGCGGCTGCAAGGGAATTATCTATAACTAAGAATCGCTCGTCTTTTTGCTGTTTTGCCTTCAAAACTAAGAATTGCATGCGGTCCTAATCTCAAAGGCGGATGAGTGATCTCCAAGATTGCCAAGAGGGAGCCCGAGCCTAATAACATATCCAGTTGAACCCTTCTCCCAAACTCCAACTATTGTAACTCATGATTGGCTTTTATTTTTGTTATAGTTTATTTACTATTTGATTGCGGCTACAAGGCAACTATTTATAACGAAGCATCGCTCATCTTTTTGTTGTTTTGCCTTCAAGACTAAGAAGTGCATGCAGTTCTTGTGCGATCATATAATGCCTTCTGTAAGATGGCATTGGGGTGAGAATGCACAGCGCACGATGTTGGATGTTTAAGCACGAATAAACATACAAGATGAGCGGAATTTATACATTGAACTTATGGCAACTCAGGGAAAGATATGATGTAAGATGAGCGTATCGAATTGGTGGATTTGCCATGGAGAACCAGACGAGAGAAACTGTTTGATGGGGTTTGTATATGGTTGACAATGACCATTGGATGTTATGGTGAGAATATGTGACTATCTAATTGAGATGCACAATAAAAGGAATGAGTAGATCTTTAAAAATGTGAGAAGAGATTATTATGAAAGATCACTAGCATCTGGTTTTTCCTATAAACGTGAAATGTTCAATAGCATAATATGATCAACCAAGTCCACCCCGCTTAGTGGGATAAGCTTGGTGGTGGTGGTTATTCTTCTTATTCACAATTTGTCTAATATCTCGTCTAAGCCATTGAACAAGAAAGGGAGAATGCAAATATATACGGTTTTCAGAAAACCTTGGCTCCACCGGTAGGGAAAGGGGAAAAGATGGACTCTTTGTGTCTCACGGCTGATAATTTCTTTCGGTTACTGGGATATTTAGAAAGATTGAGATGGATGTGAAATCTGTCAAGGTGGATCGGGTAGGAAAAGACCTTCACATGCTCAGAGTTTCCTTGTGAAGCCACAGCTTAGGACGGTGCTAGATATGACTGATATACTCAAAGAATTTTCAAAATTTACTTATTCCATATCTGCTCAATTATTTATTTCATATTTGTCCCCTGTAAAATCTATTAATATTGAGAAAGCATGTTCCTCCATGATTCTTTTGAATTAATGAGATGCTTCACCTTTAAATTAATTTTTCGTTACCTTCTTGAAATAGTTCCGTTCTTATACGGAGTAGATATTTGTGTAGGTGGTGAAGGCAGTACCTGTTCTTGCTGGAATATGTGGAACTGATCCTTTTCGTTGAATGGATTACTTCCTAAGGCAAGTGGAGTCAATCGGAATTTTGGGCTGCAAAATTTTCTTACCATGGGGCTTTTTTATGGCAATTTCAGACAGAATCCGGAAGAAACAGGAATGGGTTATGAGTTGGTTTTCCCATATGACATTTCTTATTACTCCAACTCGAGCACTTATGGCTTAATGGGCAGCTTCTCTCTTTGCTCACTGTAGCTCGGAAGTAGAGATGATAGCAAAAGCTCACAAAATGGGTCTATTAACAACTCTTTATGCCTTCAATGAAGATGAAGCTGCAGAAATGGCAAAAGCTGGAGCTGATGGTATAGTGGCTCATATGGATCTTACAGCTTCTGGCTCAATAGGTGAAAAGACTGCTGTCACATTGGAGGAAAGTGTACTTCGTGCACAAGCTATTGCAAATGCCACAAGCAGCATCCATACCCATGCCATCGTCTTATGCCATGAGGTCTATGTTAAAAGCATCTTTTACATCTTTTCTGTTCTGAATTCCTTCATCACCTCTAATTGCATCTCCCTCGACTATGATTATGACTGCCATTGTCTTTGCTCTGCTTCTGCACAACTTGTGGTTGAACCATTATCCAAACCATTCCAGTCACCTCTTAGCAATTTTTATGCAGAATGACTGGAGAGATGTGTGCTGTTAGTCAGTTCTGTTTTCTAGGCGTTCTTTATTCTTCCTGCATTGTCCTTGTTTCTTCTGTTTGAGTTTTCTTGTTCTTCCACTCGTTTTGCTTGAGTTCTTTTTCAGCTCTTTTTGTCGTTTTATTGATTGTAAAGCATCAAATGCTGTTCACTGTTCTTGCTTCGGCCTTGGCACTCTGTCCTACTTTGCTTACTTTGCCTCAAATAGTTTATGTTCTGATATCCTACACCTTGGGCGAGAGTCATATAAGTGGTATTCTGTCCCTGATCATGCAACAGTTCTGGACATGATGGAAAAGTGAATGAATTTTGATGTGAATGTGCAGATCCTATATCTGGTCCAAAACAGACAGAATTCATACTGAAGAACACTGAGGTAGTTCATGGGTTTTTTGGTGCAACAAGCATGGAGAGGCTACCCCGCTGAACAAGCAATTAAAAGCACAGTCCAAGAATACAAATTAATGCCCTGAAGTGAGGTTCGGTATATCACTCCGTATACGCAGCTGTTAATTATGATTTGTACTTCCCTACATCTTAGTACTATGATTGTGACAATAAATTAATTTGCACTTTTTTATGGCTGAATATGATAATATCCCTCTCTATCAAGATTGAGAGTTTATGCTGACTGCTACTCATCAATATCTGAAGGCTGGTGAGCTTATTCTTTGTTTTCTTCTCCCCTAAACAGGACAAGCACCCAAGTCTTTTTAGGAAAATTTTTATGGGTGACTAACGGATAATATGCCTCTCTAGGATCTTTGTTTTCCTGCTTTCCTCAAGTTCCTTTCTCTATAAAATTGTCAAAATGGAGGAAACACATTTAGCGGGAATGATCTCCTGTCACTTCCTTTCACTTCAGCATAATTCATAGACTTCTCCTTTGACTCGGCAAGCAAGCACAGTTTTCTTCTTACATCTAGTGAGCTGATAATCCTGAAAAGTGCCATCAGAAAAAAGCTAATGGTGCCTGATTATGATTTGTTCTGTGAACTAAAAATAGATTCTTTGATTGACATGAAAGCCTCGTTGTGTTTAATGGAATAAGCTTGCTCTATCTGCAAATAAAATCACCAAAGTGCTTTATTTCTCAGCCATCTTTCTTCTCCTTCTCTATCATATTGGCGTCAAGGTTATGGGGCAGCCACTCCTCAGCCTTGGCATATGTGCATTCTTTTTTAAGCTGGTATCTGGGTCATCAACTGTCCACCTGTAAGGAGAGCAAATCATAATTATGCAATGAGGAGGAGGATTTTTCTAATAGTATTATTATCAAGATCTATTCTATGAATGATAGAACCATTTTATAACCATTTTTCTAGTAGTGTTATCGGTAGATAGAACCGATCATACTCAAGGATACGTGCAGAAACATTTTCTTTTTTATTGTATCTTTTAGAACGAGTTTACAAGTGAATTTTTAAAACGATGCATTTCTTAGCAGAGAAGCGGATGACATACCTGTATCCACTTGTCAGCCGGTGCAAGAAGGTCAACATGATAACTTTTGCCATGTCTATTCCCATGCATGTTCTGGGTCCTGATCCAAAAGGTATGAAACTGTATGGCTTTTGCATTTCCTGAAGATTTGTAGCATGTCGAACTATGATCAGAGCTTTGAAGTGCCCATCAGGCACATATGATTAAGCAAATTAGAAGAGAGATTAACAAGAGGTTTTGAAGATGAAATATTTACATCAAATCTTGAAGGGTTAAATTGATTGGGATCCTTGTATATGCTGGGATCAAAGTGAATGCAAGCGGCATCGACGTTTACATGCCATCCTTTCTTGATATTGTAACCTGCATATTCAACGAATGATTGAGAAGGTCTTAATCTGAAAAAGAATGATACCCATGACCTTTAGTACATAGTCTGCGAGTAAAGCTTCTCTGAAAAAGAGACGTTTAACTTGCCTTCAATAGTGCAGTCTTTGAGTGCCACCCGGGTGTGCCATAAGAGCACATTTGCCATTCTAAGCGTCTCTTTAACAACCTGGAATTTCATTAAATGCCAGCATTGTTCTGATCATGTAAGACACGTTGTTCGCAGACACGAAGAGGAGAAAATCTGCACACATGCATGTGATAGGGAGATTCTCACCTTTAAGCCATATGGCATGCTGTTGAGATCTTCAAGAGTGAGAGCAGCCCCTTGTGGTTTCTTCTTCAGTATAGCCAACTGCTCTTCCTGAAATTTCATCTTGATATCAGTTTAGAGTTCAGCTAGTTTGTACCAGTCTCTCTCTCTCTGTTGCTTTGGTCCGGTTTCAAATTCCAATTATTTTCCAAATTGAAATAAACAGATCGAAGACATTCCGTACAGTTTCTTTGCACACTGCATCTCATATAATTAAAGATTCATTTTAACCGTTGTTCAGGCCCTATACCGAAAACTTGTTCTAGACCAAAAAGTTAAAAAATGTAACTTGCAAGTAACATGGCAAGTATTTCCTTGGATGACCACTTAGAAGGCATTCACTCATATCCGTGGTATCTCATCCGGATCAAGCTGAAATATTCGGTTCCTTTGGCTGCTTAATCTCATCAAATTTGGTTTGACTTTAGGTTCGAAAAAAGATTTGCAAATTAGCATATTCAGTTCAGTTCAAAGCTAACCAAACTACGGACATCCCTCACACGACACGGAGAATATGGTTGGATTAAAAAGAAAAACTCACCCTGAGCCTATCCTGAATATCTGTGTTCTCATCCAAGAACTTGACACTCCACATCAAGGTAGTTGCAGTGGTGAATTGCCCAGCAAGGATCAGAGTCAACAGATTGTCCATGATTTCTGAGTCATCCATTTTCTCTTCAGGAGGCGATGACTCTCTATCTAACATGGACTGTAGGAAGTCCTCAGGAGCTTCCTGCCCTCTTCCCCTTCTGTCCTCTATCATTTTTCTGAAAGTTTCCATCAGCCTATTTCTTGCCTACATCAACCATTTTACCATTTCACTGCCTGTTGCTCTTGAATCTTATCGGAATAATAGACACAGATTTGTTTAAATGGTAGCCAGTGTTCTCTAAAATTACGAATTTAGTGATATACATGATGTTTAACATGATTAAGTTAAAATAGAAAACTTGATGAGTGAACTTAACGCAGTAATTTTCTAGTTCTTTTTTGAATTTCTTTTTCTTTTATGATTTCTACATACTCTGAAAGAAAAGGTATTTGTTGACATGCTTAGGTCAGCCAATCGAATTGGGAGCAGATCATCGACCCTTCCAACTTTATAACAGATCATATACCTGTTGACATGCTAATATGTAATGTAATGAAAGAAGTACCGTTCTTCTTTTGGCCAAAAAAGAAATTGAGAATGCACTTAGACTTCCCTGTCAACCTCTGAGGTCATGAGGAAGTTTCAAATCCAAGAACTTAGTGATTTCCAAGACAGAGTCAACTTTGAGAGTTGTTGCTCTCTGCTGTTCCATTGGGTCCATCAACCTAGTTCCTCCTCTTGTTTTATTATGCATGAAGGGCTAAAAAAACATGTGTTACCTTAATGCCTTTGTAGTATCGAGTGCCGGGGATCATGACGGGGAAGGACAACATGGCATTGGACACATCCATACAGTCACTCTGTATCTGTCGCAGCATTGAGTCCTCCCTCACGCTCATCAGCATTTCACAAATCGCATCAACTGCAATCTGTTTGTAATAATTGTCAAGAACCAGTTGTGAGGACAGTTGACAACTTTTTAACAAACGAATCTAGTCACTTGTTTGTTGTGTTAGTCTTTCTATCAGTTTATGATATAAGGACTCTTTGGTAGATTGAAACGATTATATAGTTTGTGGAATATATGAGATTTATGTTGTCGTGTAGACTCACCTTCATGTTGAATTCCAGCACCGCAAAGCTTTTGCCATGTTCTTCTAGCTTCTTCAATCTCTGGCACAGCATCTTGTCGAACTTGGGGACGAACTTGGACAAAGAAGGCATGGAGAAAGGATCGGACAGAAGACGCCTTATCCTTTTGTGGCTCTCATGAGGCACACAAAGCAAACTCCTCTTTCCGACTGCATCAGCCATGGACTTTACATACTCCTTGTTGAAATCCACAAAGTCGTTCGCAAACACCGTTTTTGCACCCTCCGTGCTTGGGATAAACACGTGGGTTGTACCGAATATTCTCGTCTTGAACCATTTCCCGTACCTACACTTTCGCCAACAAATGGATGATAAATTCGTTATTAGTATGCCGCAAGGCATCAAATCGATAGCTAGCATTATTTCCACTCATATAATTCGAAACTAACTTGGGGTTTTCTTGTTTCCCAATGCTTTTCTTCTGATGATGGAAGATGAGCATTTTAGAGAATAGAAAGCTCAATTTTCACATAGGATGATCATGTCTACAATGTCAGTGGCAAACTAGGTCTGCAAGTATCGATAGTATTAGGTATGATTTCATCGAAGATCCATCTTACTTGAATTTGAGATCAATATACTTACTGGACCAAGTAAGTATGATTACGACTCTACACTCTGGTAAAAAATTACATGATAATATAGATTAAAAAGTAAAAGAAATGAAACAAAATGCCAAGAAGAATAATCACTGACCACAATCTCCTGCGTCTCACAAACTCATAGCATCCCTTAGTGCTGTTGGAGGCTGAGAGAAAAGAGAAGGTCTCTCCTACGTATGGTAATCCCAATCTACCAGGAATTTGGCCTCTGTCACCTGAGATTTTTCTCTTGGCTTTTGCTGAGAAATAAAACATGAACCCAACTGAAACCAGGAGAGTAAAGAGAACATTATAGTAGCTCCTCACAAAGAAGATCCACTCCTCCTTTGACCAAATCATCGGGGTCATCTGTTGACTTGTGCCAAACATGAAGGGACTCTTTTGCAGATGAAGAACATATGATGAATCCAACCATGGGGCTTTAAGGAGAGTCAAATTGGTGGAATCTGCCGTAAGAGGACAAATAGAGAATAAGAAGTTCAAAAAAGAAAAGATGCTTTGGAGGCAAGAATAATAAAACGCAAAGGAATCTTCGCGTTAGGTCTTGACAAAAAAATTTGGTAAAATTCATTCAAGTAAAGACAAATCCTCGCCAATAGGCATGTGGTTCTGCTGGTAAAGAAATTAGGAGATGGGGACGCTAGTATCATAGGTACGGGGTTAGACTCCCGTGTTCTATAAGAGATAGAGCAAAAGTCAGAGAATGAGAAGAGTTATAAATATGACAAAAAAGAAGAAGACAGATCCTTGTTAAGTTTGTTAGAAAAGTCTCACACAGGATGATTAGCGTGGTGTGTAGCAGTTAATATGTCGTATTAGGCTTACAACTCATTGGCTTAAGAGCTCGGACTGGTCTCTCCCTTGGCGATCTAAATATCTAGAGATGCTTCGCCAAAGTGGATTGCATGCTAAGATGTTCTCTCTCTCTCAACTCTCATGTAGGAGAGGGAGCATTTTGTGCGAGCAAAAAGTCTTTGAGTTAATGGTGACATGAGGTCTACTCAACACCTTAAGCCACCACTTCTGAGAAGCGAAAATTCTCTAAAAATTCATAAGCCTGTTGCATTTTTGGCAATTCAGTTCTAAACTTT